TGTGTGTGTGTGTGTGTGTGTGTGTGTGTGTGTGTGTGTGCTCGCTCAAGGACAAGGGCAGGAGCAGGTAGGAGGGATCACCAGCTAAGTCTACAACCCATGAACTAACACAGTTCCTTCTGGCAGGGGCTGGTGGTAGCCATCCTTTACTGCTTCCTCAATGGTGAGGTGAGTGTCCTGGGGAACCGTGGGATTCCAAGGCAGGAGCTCCCTGGAGAGAGCAGTGGAAGGGGGTTGGGGAGGGTGCTGGGCAGTGCTTGGCAGAGTCACCTAGGAGTATGCTAAGTCACATCTTGGGCAATGTCCCCAGGAGAGAGCCAGCAGAAATAGATTCTGTGGGGCTGGGCTGGGCCTGTTAAGTGTTCCTTACCAAACTCTCTGGGTGCTTCTTATCCATGGGCAAGCTCAGCAAACCCAGGGGAGCCCAGGCCCCACTCAGAACCCAAGTTCCTGACAGCTCTGCATCTGGCTCTGTGGGTGACCTGGGTCACTTCCTGCCTGGAGCTCAGTCTTCCCCTGAGTGAAGTGGGTCACTTGGAACTGGCCCGGCCTTGCACAGAGACTAAGGTTTCAGGATATGAAGTTCCAGTCATTGACCCTGGTTAAACAGGTACTTCGCACAGCCAAGTGTCTCTGTGGCTGTTGGCCAATCCGTCTGGTTCACACACTTGAATGGGAATGTGACCTCAGATGTTTCTCCAAAATCAAACATCAAACCTGAATTCAGAGGTCCGAGTGTTCTCTTGGGAACCATGGAGGAAATGTCCACAGAGCCAACCCTCAGGTCCCGGATAGAGAGAGGCGGTTATGGGGGTGAGCATGCAGGTTTGGACACTCGATTCTGCAGTTTATGGGACAAATCTCACACCTTTTCTGAGGAACACAGTGTTAGCCCAAGGCAGGTACAGCCCAGCAGGATGCCTCTGCAGGTGAATGGGGCTGGCCCTAAGTCTGACAGCCTGACCTGGATCCCCAGAACTGATGTGGAAAGGGAGGTCAAGTTGTCCCCTGACCTTCACAAGAATGCCATGGCATGCATGTGTGTTCACACCTGTCTCTATAAATAAATAAAGTAAAAAATAATTTTAAAAAATTGAAGATAGCCTGTACAAGTGCCCCAGGGCAGAGAGGGCTCTCAGTACCTTCTATACATGGGGTAGGAAATGGTCAGTCAGAGACCTATAGGTGAGGGGACACAGCAGGGCGTGAGACTGGAGGACCGGGACTGATCAGTGAGTCAGGTTCTAGGCACAGGCCCGTCCTTCCCTCTCAAGCGACTGCTGCAGCTGACGGCCGGTCTCGGGCAGGTGCAGCTGGAAGTTCAGAAGAGATGGCGCCAGTGGTACCTGCAAGGGTTCCCGCTGCGCCCCGTGGCCCTCAGCAGCTCCTTCAGCCACGCTGCCAGTGGTCCCACCCACAGCACCAAGGCCAGCAGCACCTCGGAGCAGAGCCGGAGCACTGCCAGGGCCAGTGTCCTCTGAGGCTGCGGCAAGGCTGGCCGTGGACAAAGCTGGACATTCGGTAGGACGGCACTCTCCCTAACGGCCGTTTTGTGTTCCGATGGCTGGACAAAGCTGGACGTTCGGTAGGACGGCTCTCTCCCTAACAGCCGTTTTGTGTTCCGGTGGCTGGACAAAGCTGGACGTTCGGTAGGACGGCTCTCTCCCTAACAGCCCTTTTGTGTTCCGGTGGCTGAAAGGCCTTCCTCCGGGTCTGAGCTTCTTCAGAGCTAAGCGAGACTGGGTCACCACGGATGGGGCAGGAAACAGGCCTGTGGTTTGGTCTTTCTTGTTCTTCTGAGAGAGCAAGTCAGGGGCTCCAGAAGAGGCAGGCGAATAAATGACGTCCAGAAAACCCTAGTCTGTGTGTATCCATCTTTTACCACCTGGGGAGGGGGTGTGCTCTAGACCGCCCCCCAACTTCTCCCTGCAGGAGCAGGGAGCGCCCCTGCCTTCACATACCAGCTCCCTTTTAAGGACAAGCTTAGAAGCTCAGAAAATATGAGCAATCGAGACTCTTGGCCTGAGACAGCTCTCGTTTGTCCCCTACAGCAACTCATCTGCCCTAAAGCTCTCAGAGCATTGAGGACAGCAGCTAAATTAAGCTGTCGAAGTCGCGGGGCACCCGAAGCCCCTTTTGTTGTCCCTGATGTGGCATGGAGGACTCCATGGAAAGCAGGCACATCAGGAACTTAAGCCATGCTCTCTGTGGATGGGAGACAGCTCCTCAAAGGCCCAAGACTTGCCCAAGCTACTTGGTAACGATCTGGAATTCTTGTTGTTATTTTGAGACAGTGTCTCCTGTAGCCCAGGCTGGTCTGCTATTCCCTAGGTAGCTGAAGATGGCCTTGAACTCTTGATCCTCTTACCTTCACTTTCCAAGTGCTAGGATTACAGGTGTGCACCGCCAAGCCTGGTCTATGTGGTCCTGGGAATCAGACTCATGACTTCAGGCACAATAGGGAAGCGCTATAGCAGCTGAGCTCCATCTCCGTGGAGCCCTGGTGCATAGCTTTTTACTTTAAACATCTGAGCTTCAAGGCAGGTGTTGGTTTCCTACCTCTCCAACAGGGAAGGACAAAGGCCCATCTCCCTGCACTCTAAGCTCTCATAACCCTGGCTCTCCATGCCTGAGTATTTGCCCTCCTTGACTCCGTAAGAGTGTAAAAGAGGACGAAATGTTTGAACCTCCTTCCGAAACAAAACTTAACATGGAGACCGAAACAGAAATGGAGACAGGGCCTCCCATTTGCATCTCGAAGGCTGCTGTAGGACCCCTTTGCCAGGCTGAGACTCAGCATGGGTGGTCGAT